TCTACTTTCTGCTTATTGTAAATAACTAGAATCATTTTTGCCTCAATCTTTAAAGATCTCTCTAATCCAACTTTTCTTTACTGTTCAACAAGCTACCTTAACTCTCAGTGTGCTGGCAATCCCTCCCAATACATTATCTCTGTCATAATTTGACTTCAACGTATCTTTAAAAACATTTCTTCCACAGTTCATCCTAAGGAAACTCTTACTTCAAACTGGCCTCTCATTGTTTCCCAGATATGCCATCCTCTCTCCACCCTATAGTGTGGCACCCACCCTCCTCATCTTCTCCAATGTTTTTCCCAGCCTCTTCAGAAAAACCAACCTGTTACCTTCCCTTCCAAGGTGTTCAATGGAGCTTTGGATATTTTACTTTTATTTTCCAGTGTCCTCCAACTCCATCTTTCTCTTTTCCTGTTATTCTCTTCTATGGAATGTACAGAAGACTATTTTCTTCTGTGGAATGCATTCCAAAGACTTCTCCTTGTTCCAGACCATGAACAAGCCTCTTAGTCCTCTTCTTTGATGATTTACACACTGCTCTAAGTCCAAACTTTCCATTATTCTCCCTTTATACTGACCTTTATCATGGTTTGGTTCATGCTGCCTTTGAGAGTGAATCATTCTTTGGCTATTTCTTTCTCCTTGTTTCTCAATAAGCATCCTTTAGGCATATAACAAGTAGACAAATCTTCCACATGAAATATCTGGGTTACATTTTTAATTCTATACACTTACTCCCTGGACCAATAATAGAATGGATCTCCAGAAAGAACAGACATTCAGTTGCTGAATGGAAGAAATGTTTCCTTTCCTATTCAAAAGCAGCCCTTCTGACTAATTAAAGAAATATGTCAAAACAGTTCCCAAGAAGAACCCATATGTCAGCCAAAGAATTAAATATTTTGAAAATGAGAAGAACCACTTGGTCTATTTTTCAATAGAGATTGCGAACAAAGGAAAAGAAGAAAGACAGGGCAGGAATAAATCAGAATTCAAGCTGAAATAAATATAGAAATCTCGTAATGAAAAAGAAAACTATGAAAGCTTAGGACTCTGGTGAAGCCCTAAGACATCATATATATGCCTAAGGTTTTCACTACATTTCTAACGCTTGCCATCAGCTTTTGACCAAAACCAAGCCTTCCAAAAGGAAAAATGGGACATAAAAAGGTCCTGGATTGATGGACAATAGACACAACCTTCTGCAGGATACAAATACTTCTTTAGCAACATATGCTTCAAAAATAGTGGGGGTGGGAGGCTAGTGAGCACTTGAAGACGTCAGTGTTTTCTAAGAATGGACTCCATATACTGCCAAGCACTATTCGAATGGAGACTATTTATTACTACTTGAGAGAAGTGTAGCTACCTCTCACCCACTGCTGGGTAACAAATGGTATTAAGTGTGTTCCGCTACCTCCTCCAAACTTAGACCGGCGAAAGTAGTTAGAAAAAAAAAAAGAAGAAGAAGAATACTGGGAAGGACTTATTTCTTCTCTTAAATCCATGCTACCCCCTAGGGAACTGGGATCCTAAAGGCCCAAGTAGTAGGAATGAGAGGTGCTCACTCAGCAGAAGAATGCTGCTGCAATTTGGCTGTCTGCCTTCAAGGATCAAATAAAATATGTGTTTATAGAAGTGGGGCAGCTGCTCAGCGAGTTTGGATACCCACCCTTTGAGTACTCAAGACTTTCTTTTTTCCTTATTCAACCACTGATGCAGTCTTCGAGAAGCGTCAGACTAAAGAGTAAAGATATACAGTTATTTTGGTTCCTGAACTTCCTGGAGACAACATCACTCTCTTCCTTAAAACCCTCCAGAGCAGTTCAAATAAGACCCCATCACAAGGTTTCCATCTTTGAGTTGCATTCAGAAATGGTTAGAAATTCCTCATCATTCATTCAACAATACTTACTGAGACTGTATCACAGTTAATACTGTGGGTATCAAAATGAGTAAAAGAAAAAAACATATATGTATTAAACACACACACATACATACTGCTATGAATAAATCTTATCACTTTTTAGGCTGTAGGTACTCACTATCAATCTCTTTTTACCTTAAAGCTCCACCCTCTAGCTTGCTATTTCATAGGGGACAAGCAAACAAAAAGTTCTGTTACAGTGAAACCTGTGATATTATACAGGATATGATTTGAAATGATATGACCAAAAGTGACAAGAGCAAGTGCCATGTTAGCTGAGTCCTAGGCAATAGTTGGCATGGTGGTCACTGGTCAGTACAGAGGAATAAGAAGTATTCCTATTCACAAATCAACGGATCTGCATTTCAAGAAACACAATAAATATTTCTTCTGGAATTTAAACCAGTTGATAAAAGAAAAGGTCATATCAATTAAATGGGAACTATTACTACCAAGTGCTTTACAAAAAAAAAAAAAAAAGGTACCAGAAGAAAATTCAGAGCAGAGCAGAGAAACTAATTTTTACTAACAATCAAATGGAAAAGAAATGTTAAATATCTGTCAAAAACAAGGCCAAGTGAACTATTTCTGAAGCAACAAAAGACCCCTGAGCGAGAAATGTTATAATCATCCTCTTTCTAGGTCGGAACTCTCTTAGAAAGAGACAAAGAAAAATCTGGACCTGGAATATGAGGAATACATTAGGAATCCATTCACCACACTGACAGAGATTTGTTTAACTAACAGATGGAGGGCCAGAGTAATCAGATATAACAGGAAAAGGGAATGGATTAGGGGAATAAATGAAAAATTATGACTCCAGAGTAAAGGGCAAAACATTTTTAGAATGCCCATTAGGTTACGTTAGCAGAAAAATAAAAAGAAATTCCTAAAATATGATAAAGGAGAGAACCATTTTTCATGTTTCTCCACCAGAAAAAATTCAGTATGCTGTGAAAAATTAAATTTGATATTTTCATGTATCTGAATAAAGACTAAATAAATTGTGGCATTTAAAAATTCCTAGGGCTCGTTACATACAACACAGAATGGGGAGGAAGGAACAAGGAATCCCACCATATAAAATAAAGGACTTGTCTCGGTTTTCTTTCATTAAGCAGAAATAAAGGGTGTCTTAAAAGTATACGGGTAGGATCCAAGGGAGCTAGTGGGGTGTTTGTTTGTTTTGGAAGAAAGAGAAAACCATCATAAAGAAAAGATCTTGGGAAGTATACAAATTTCATTAAAACATAATCGGACTTGAAGGAACAATTACTGTGCTGTACTGTAAGGGGAGCTGTTGGCACATAAGAGCAAAGTGCACGTATGAGCTCATCCACCAGCCTCGGCAAGACCCACTTCCAGCTAGAAGCAGTCATGTTTCAACACCTCCGATTCCCTAATGCTGACAAGCTAAACAACTTGTTTTGTCTCTGGGAGCTCTTCTCTGGTGATTAACTGCTTATGGTGAATACTAATTATATGAAAGTACAGTACTGAAGAAGTGGTGCCCTATTTCCTCTACCTGCAGCCTTGATACGTCTTTGAATCTAGAAAGGTACTAGGTAGAGACACTGCAAACCCTCCCCCCATTGTAAATAAATGTATCCCCTTCTACTTTTTCCTTCCCCCCACTGTAAATAAATGTTTCCCAAGGACCCTCCATTAACCTCTGGACTCCAAACCAAACAGAATTACAATATAACAAAATGGATGTTTTCAAGGTCTTTAATAATCATATGGATAGGGGCGCCTGGGTGGCTCAGTTGGTTAAGCATCTGACTTTGGCTCAGGTCATGATCTCACGGTTTGTGGGTTTGAGCCCCGTGTTAGGCTCTGTGCTGAGAGCTCAGAGCCTGGAGCCTACTTCTGATTCTGTGTGTCCCTCTCTCTGACCCTCCCCTGCTCACTCTGGCTCTCTCTCACTCTATCTCTCTCAGAAATAAATACAACATTAAAAAAATAATCATATGGATAGATCTGCAGCAAGAGTTCACAAATTAGTAACTATCAGTGTCCCCAGTTCCCAATGTCCCATGTTGAAAATTTACCCCAAATTGTCAGTTCTTAGGAAGGGCACCTCAGATTAAAATCTTCTCACCAGGGAGTCTATGAGAATTTGTTCTTGTGTTTTAAATCCTAAGTGCTTGTTAAACCGCCAACACTGCAAAATTAGAGACCATTAAACAATATAAGGCAGCAAGTGATTAAATCTACCAAATACACACTCAAAGCAGCTTAAGCTACTTTTTAATTAAAAATAAAATATCACTGGCTAAATTCAGATGTCTTAGCTATCCAGAAAAAGTTAGAAGGCTGTTCAAAATGCAAAATCCTGCCGATAAGGCCAGATAGGAAAGGAGAAATAGGGTGGGGGGTAGGTTGGGGCGGCAGAGCCTTGCCATGCTGATCCAGTTTAGTCAGAAGACAAGAAGGGGGGTCCTCAGGGCACTAAGGGGTGAGGACGCCATGTGGCTGCTGATTAAATAAGCTTTATCAGCCAAGGCCTCAGAGGAGACAGGGTGTTCCACCTTCTTTGGCAAGGAGAACGAGTTGAGTAACAGCATCTCAGAAAGCTTAGGCACTGGAGATGTATGGACGTTCGAAGGAAATATTAGTGCTATTTTTAATTACAGCTTGAACTAACTGATAAACAGTTCCTGAAATAATTGTTAGCAATTGGGGAAGGAGGCATGGGGGATTTTGAGTTAATGCAATTGCTTAAATTGGAAGAAATTTTTACTGTAAAGTTAGAAGTATATAAACATTGTAGCTTTAAGTTGTTCCTACTTGTTTAAAGAAAAGAGAAAGGGCCAGGGGGCTTAGTCAACGTTGGGCAGGAGGCCAAGAAACTGAAGATCAGACTTAAGGCTGGGATGATATCATTCACTCTGAAGTCTTGATACTCTTTCTAAAGCATGAGAAAATTTACTGGTAAAACCTTACCTCACCCACACTTTTCTTATTTTTAACTCTATTTTTTTTCCTCTCAAGAATAATTTTCTAAATCTGCTTTCTGCCTTACATGTAAATGTTATGAATTTACATTTAGCTTCCGACATGGTCTTACCTAAAAAGCTTGCCCTGAAGTAAAGCACAGGCACTTGGTAGCTACAGGAGTATAAAACATGATATTCATATTTAATCACTTCGCTTCCCGGTGTGGTCTCAGTCACTTCAAAATCATCCAGCGGTAGCTCTAAAGCCTCCTGAAAAAAAGCAAAAGAGAAACAAAATGTGTTTGTCAATTTAAAAAAAGTACGTTAACACAGAAAGGGAAAGAGGAGGTTTTCTTCTGGCAAAATAACAGTTAAACAAATATAGGACTATGAGGTAAGGAAAAGGGAGTTTCCAACATTAATGTTTAACATTTGAGTCCTGGGTAAATAGTAAAACCAGAAAACATTAGCATTAAGTAATTCCAGATTGTTTTTGAGAGACAAAGCAGCTCTGGGTAAAGAAACAGGAAGGGGGAAAAAAAAAGCAAAAAGATCTATTGCAACAGCAACTGAAAACTCTTTACTGTACAATTTTAGCAACAAGATGATGGCTATACAAGCTACCTTCTTCCCTACCTGTGAAAGCTAAAAACATCCTAACAATTGAACAAGAGGCTGTGAAATGTCCCTAAAGATTCTATTGTACTTGCCAAAAGATGATTCATTGTGTGCTGAACAATTCCCAGTTCCATTTTGAATAAGAAAGTTATTTTGCAAGAGGTTGAGTTTGTTAGGTACATTTCAAAACCCGAGATGAGTCTGTTCTCCTTCTTATTGTGCTATCTATCGGTGGTATATTTCTACAATAAATCTTAATATTTATAACAGAATAGATGGCAAATATTAATGCCAACTTAAATACGGTTTTTGTAAGCATAGATGGTTCTAGCCAGCTCACTTCTCGTAATCATTCCTTACTGGTTGATTTTTTATTATTTGTGATTGTTTCTGAGGAATTTATCTTAATGTTTGGAAGCCGTTAATTGGACATGTTGAGTCAGAATCTGGTTCCATCCACACTCACTTATTTATTTGGACTGAAGAATTTCCTCTGAAATTAAATTAGTAAAAGGAAAAGAAGCAGGTTGGTTTGGCTCATTTCTACCTCTCATTAAAACAGTAACAACAATGAACAATTGGAAAGAGTTACAGGAAAGATTTCAAACTTTATCAATATGAAATAAGGTTTCCTGTGGAGATAAGTAAAGCCACAGACTGCTCTGCAGATCTGTATCTGCTTTACTAATTCCCCACTCACAGTCAATTCATTGGAGGAGATATTACACCGGATAAATAACAACCAAAGATATTTACAAAATAGTTTTCACTAAACTCCAGTAAACACTATCAATTAAACATAATGAATTAAATAACCAGAAACAGATCACTGAAGTATACATTCCCGATACAGAAAGTTAATCCAGTAGCAAGAAAGAGGTTTTTCTGTTTGTTGCTTTGAATTTTCATTAGGCAATGTTACCTGTATTTCCTTTTAAAGCAGTTCTTCAAATCAAATTCTTTCTTTTGGTCAAAGATTAAGTTGGTCAGCATTTATATTAGCATTTATAATTTCCTTTCTTTTATAACATTATAAAGCATTATGTTTTTGTGATAAAAGAAATAATTGCAAACACTGCACAAGTACCTAAAATAAAAAGTGAAATCCCCCTCATCCTAGCACTCCTATACTTCAGGTATGTGATAATTTTTAACACATTAGTGTATAGTTTTCCAGGCTTTTCGAATTTTTTCACCTACAAACACACACACACACGCACGCACGCACGCACGCACACACACACGCACGCACACACACACCTACCCTCGATTTCATATTATACATATATGTACATATAACATTTTCACTCAGCTTTCTTTTTAACTTTGTTTCTTATATATTTTATCATGACAATTTTTTTTACATGTTTTTAAATTTCATTTATATCATTAATCCATCTGAATTGTGTTTTGTGTATGGTGTGAGGTAAGGATTTTTCCCAGATGATTTCTAATAGTCCATTTTTTCCCCATTTTTTTTAGTGCTACCTTTACTATAAAATAAGTGTGTGTGTGTGTGTGTGTGTGTGTGTGTGTGTGTTTATTCCCTATTCTTCTCTATTGACCTAGTTCTCTCCTTAGACCATCACTGTCTAATTCTTAAACAAATGTTGAATTAGGTTATTAATTTCTGCAGAAAACTGCAGATACAGACTGTCTGAGACTCAGTCCTGTTAGGAAGGATGAGATTCCTAGAAAGAAGGGCCTTCCCCTAAATTCAAATTCAACACTCAGGTATGCACTGGGGTTGACATCAGAGACATGCCAGTAGTGATCAATTGGACATAAATCCAGTTTCTCTGGAATAGTTAGGAGGCCCAAGGAATAAGAGAGAGGAGACAGAACAAACTCTCTGAAGAGCCATGAGAATTCTCACTGTAACCACTATTCTCATCAGCAGGATACCTCTGTGGGGATTGAAAGCTTGAGCACTCCTCTCTTTGGGAGTGCTGCTATGTTTCCCACTGCCTTGCTCTGGGCAGCTAGCTATAGGTAAAGATATATTTGCATCCTTAACTCATATTAAATGAATCTGAATCCTTGACCTGTATCTGCTAGGATCTTTCCATCATTCATGGTAATGGGCATTTATGATGCCCAATCAAGTGTCATGTAATGTGGAAATCTCAGACTTCTACATCTTTTCTGCTTCTCCTTCCAAAAGTACCAAATGGCTGTAGACTACAGTTCTTGCCTTATTCATCTTTGTATTCCCAGAGACTCTAACACAGAGCTGAGAACCACAGTATGCAATACTTTCCAATTCAGTAGCAGATCTGTTTCTTACTATCTCAATATTCTACAACAGATTTCACAAATAATTCACTAGCAACACTATCCTCACCACAAAGTCTGAAAAGAAGTAAATGGAGAAGTAAAAATGCAGATCACCAAAAATAATAAATAAATGACAAATAAGCATATGAAAAAGATGTTCAACATCATTAGCCATCAGGGAAATGCAAATTAAAACTACAATGAGATATCACTATTTATCTATCAGAATGCCTAAAATAACAAATAGTGACACCTTCTAATGCTGATGGAGACTCAGAGAAACTAGATTATTCATACATCACTGCTTAGAGTACAAAATCATATGGCATTTCTTATAAAAATAAACATGAAACTACCATACAACCTACCAATGCACTCATGAGCATCTATCCCAGAGAAATGCAAAACCTGTACATGAATGTTCACAGCAGTTTTATTCAGAATAGCCCAAAACTTGAAATATTTCAAATATCTTTCAACAGGTCATGGTTAAACAAACTGTGATACATTACTCCATACTACTCAGCAACTCAAAAAAGCAAACTGTTTTTGCTTTCACTATTTTTATTAAGTTTTTAGTTGTTAATTACAATATAGTTAACATTCAGTATTATATCAGTTTCATGCATACAAAACAGTGACTCAACAATTTTATACATTACTCACTGCTCCACATAATAAGTATACATTTAATCCCCATCATCTATTTCCCCCACCTCCTTCCTGGTAACCATTAGTTTGTTCTCTACAGTTAAAAGTCTATTTCTTGGTTTGCTTCTCTTTCTCTCTCCCCCCTTTGCTCATTTGTTTTGTTTTTTAGAATTCCATATATGAGTGAAATCATATGGTTAATTGTCTTTCTCTAACTGGCTTATTTCACTTAGCATAAAACTGTCTAGCTCTATCCATGTTGTTGCAAATGGCAAGATTTCACTCTTATGCAATCCCTGTCAAACTACCAACAGCATTTTTCACAGAGATAGAACAAATGATCCTAAAAATTTTATGCTATTACAAAAGACCCCATAAAGCCAAGGCAACCTTGAAAAAGAAAAGTAAAGCTGGAGGCATCATAATTCTGGACTGCAAATTATATTACAAGGTTGTAGGGATCAAAACAGTATGGCACTAGCACAAAAATAGAAGCATAGATCAAGAGAATGAAAACCCAGAAATGAACACACAACTATATGGTCAATAAACCTTCAACAAAGAAAGAAACAATATCCAATGAAAAAAAGACAGTCTCTTCAACAATGGTGCTGAGAAAACTGGACAGCCACATGCAAAAGAATGAAATTGGACCACTTTCTGACATCATACACAAAAATAAAGTCAAAATGGATTAAAGACTTAAATGTGAGACATGAAGCCATAAAAATCCTAGAGGAGAACAGAGGTAGTAACCTCTTCGACATCAGCCATAGCAACTTCTTTCTAGATATGTCTCCTGAGGCCAGCAAAACAAAAGTAAAAATAAACTAGTGGAACTACATCAAAATAAAAATCTTCTGCACAGTGATAGAAACAATCAGAAAAACTAAAAGGCAACCTACTGAATGGGAGAAGATATTTGCAAATAACATATCTGATAAAGGGTTAGTATGCAAAATATATAAAATACTTATAAAATTCAACACCCAAAACACAATATAATTAAAAAATGGGCAAAAGACATGAATAGATATTTTTTCAAAGAAGACATGCAGAATGCCAACAGACACATGAAAGGGTGCTCAACATGACTCATCATCATGGAAATACAAATCAAAATTACAATGAGATATCACCTCATACCTGTCAGAATGGCTAAAATCAACAACACAAGCAACAACAGGTATTAGGAGGTGGAGAAAGGGGCACCCCCTTCTATTGTTGGTGGGAGTGCAGATGGGTGGAACCCCTCTGGAAAACAGTATGGAAGTTCCTCAAAAAGTTAAAAATAGAATTACCCTACAAGGCAGTAATCACATTACTGGGTATTTACCCAAAGAATACAAAAACACTAATTCAAAAGGATACATGCACCCGGATGTTTACAGCAGCATTATTTACAATAGCCAAATTATGGAAGCAGCCCAACTGTCATTGACTGATGAATGGATAAGGAAGATGTGGTGTACACACACACACACACACACACACACACACACACACAGTGGGGAGTAAAAACACTCTAACAATATTTGCTCTTCCAACCCATGAGCTGGAATGTATTTCTATTTCTTTATGCCTTCTTCAATTTCTTTCAACAATATTTTATAATTCTCAGAGTATGAGTCTTTCAGCTCCTTGCTTAAGTTTATTCGTAGGTACTTTATTATTTTTGGTGCAATTGTAAATGGAATCATTTTCTTCATTTCTTTCTTCAGCTT